CTTTTTCCTGAAAGAAACCTTGAAATCCTTTTACTCATCGAGATGGGGCAGAAGCCATTGGTGTTGTAAGCCATTTGGAGTCACAGAGAAATTGGGAATGGGAGGGGAACTGTGAGAGCACCCTGTGGAGAAGGGGATGTCTTATCCTTTGTAGACTATACTGGACTCCAAATTTTCTGTATGAGGAGAAGGCAGACATCTTCAAAGCCACTTTCCCTAGTAATTTCAACTTGTAGGAAATTCACCATTCACTGTGCGATTCCATTTAAGCCTACTGGGAGTGTCAGGGCTCAGGAAAAGACCATTGTGAACTCCATTTTTCACCACAGCGCGCTCTCTGTCCTTTCCAAAGGGGCTGGGGCTGAAGTAGAATGTGAACGCAGTGTGTGTTTTGCTTCAGCAAAGAGGCAATTGTAATCAAGCGGCGCTGTGCTTTAGCTGGACAATTTTAAAACAAATCCGTGCATTTGGGTGGCGTTTAATAAGGCCTATGTGGTTTTCTTTCATTTTCTTTCTTTTTAAGTTTCAGAGACCAGAGTGCACAGGCAATCTAGTGTATTTTACTTTAAAATGACCAGGATGTGACTAGAATTTTCATTGCCAGCAAATGGCTATCACAAAATGCGCAAATCTTTTCCTTGCTGAGAGTTACAAACACCGAATTGATCCAAGAACAACGGAGTAAAATGTGGACAGTAGGCAGGACTTGCTCTGTATCTGGCTCCAGCTTGGGGGTGTCTGGAAGTCCTGAGATTAGATACATCAAGTTCTACATCAAATATATTGTTCTGATATTAGAAACCCTGGTAAATATCTCTCTTCAAAAGCACAGTTGTTCAGTGTATAGTTTTTCTAAAGAAACAAGAGAAAGCAGTCTGGGGTTTGGGTTTTTTTCTGCGAAGACGCAGTGTGTGTGTGGCTATGAAGTTCTGATCCTCAGCTCCCTCTGCCGGCAGGAGAGAAGTACTACCGGTTCTTCAAGGCGGTTTCTCCAGATCGGAGTGCGCATTTTCTGCCCTGCACAATTAAAGAGCTAAATGAATTGCAACAGTTGGTCATACAATTCCTAAAGGCAAATGAAAACTCTTCCTGTACCCACCGAATGTGGAAGGGTGGCACACACAGGCCTCGGGACTGACAGCAGATTACACAGCCTTGGTTTCAGTGAGGCCCTCATGTCAGGAATCCGAACACGTGTGAGTTCTGTGAGGAAGTTTTGTGTGGGAGAAATTCTCAGGAAGGGCCTGGGACCCACACTTGTATCAGTTACTTTATAATATTGTATTGCAGGGATTATGGCTCCCATCTTAAATGATCCCCACAGGCCATATGGTGAAGGCTGGGTTGCCAGCATTTGGTGGTATTGGGTGGTAGAACTTCTGGAAGTGTCCTAAAGGGGTCCTTGGGCTTGGAACCCTAGAGTCTCCTCTCTTCTCTCCTCCTCTTACATCCCCTCTTCTCCTCTCTCTCTCTCTCTCTCTCTCTCTCTCTCTCTCTCTTTCTCTCTCTGTCTCTCTCTCTCTGTTACTCCTGCCTGGGCACCATGCAGTGAGCAGCCCTGCTCCACCAGACACGCCCCACTGTGATGTTCTGCCTCACACAGGTCCAAAGAAACACAGCCAGCTGACCATGGACTGAAACCTGTAAAACTGTGAGCCAAAATAAGTCTCCTCCTTATAAGTTGATTATCTCGGGTATCTCGGTTATAGCAATGAGAGCGGACAGACATAATCACATCATGGCTCTAAATATGCTGTGGTTTAGTCTTTGACCTCTGGGTTGATGAGATGTTACTATGGCACTGTATCTCTAGTCTGTTGTGGTTTAGATCTAGAAAGTCTCTCCAAATTCTCACTTGTGTGGAAGGGTATTCAATTGTGGGGGTGTTATTCATCCCTGGATTCATCTACTAATGAGTTCAGCGCTAAGTCTGCTGTTAGGAGGTGGGGCCTGGTCTGGAGAGGTTGTCACTGGAGGGATCCGCAAGGGTGGGTCTCTTTGCCAAGCTCCTCCCTTCACTCTCTGCTTCCTGCCCACCGTGATACGAGCAGCTTTCCTCCCCGGACCCTTCCTCTCCCCCTTTTCTGCCTTGGAGTCAGCTGACTATGGTCTAAAAATGTGAGCCAAAATAAAGCCGTCCTCCTTTAAAGTGTGGATGTCCAGTAGTTTGTCCCAGGAACTAGAAAGTGACTAAGATACCTAAAGACAGTAACCAACTGCTGCATCTTTAAAGAAAAAACAATTTTGTTTTTCTTAGTTACTTGCTGTGTTAGCTTTCGATCACTGTGATAAAATACCTTAGAAAAACAACTTAAAAGGAGGATTTGGGCTAATGATTTCAGAGGATCAGTTTGTGGTCATTTGATTGCACTGTTATTGTGGTGAGGCAGAAATGCATGGAGGAAAATAAGGTAGAACAAATCTACTCATTTCAAGGCACCCGGAAAACAGAGAGAGACAGAGACAGAGACACAGAGAACCATGATTCCAATATCCCTTTCAAGGCCATGCTCCCAGTAACCTTCCTTCCTCTAGGCTCCACCTCTGAAGGTGGGGCACTCTCAAGAGTACCACAGGCTGCAGACCAAGTCTTTAGCACATTTCAGATCCAAGCCATAATATGCTGTTAAGTTTTACTTGTCCCGAGTAGGGGATATTGCGGTTAAAGAGACAATGAACCTTTTTAGAAGTAGATTGTGCTTAAATTATTTTAAGTATGCACGCATATCTGACAGCTTCATGTTTTTTTGAGTTAACCCACGAGTTTAGAGGCTAAATAAAAATTACTAAGTTGAAGTAAATACATTTCATTTACAAACTCAGTGAAAAAATGTGCATATGACTCTGAAGCAACACTGCTAAAATAGAATACTTTAGCACTTGAGATTTGGGCCAAATTTACTGTTTAACTGAAAATGCTTCTTCTACCTCTGAAATCAAAGACTTATTTTTCATGATGTTCTGTTGAGTTTTATTGGTTCTTCTTTGACCTAAGAAATGGGATCTACGCTTTATATATGTGACCCTGGGGACCTAGCAACCAGCTCTCAGAGTTTACCCCCTGCCGCATCCCTTCTTGTGTCTTGTCAAAGCTGGAGGAAAAGCCTGCAGACACAGTTCTGAGCCAAGCCTGGTCACATGAGCACCATTCTGACCCACCGTTCTGTTGCTCAGGACCAGCAGTGCTGAGGATCTGTCCCCTGGCAGCTTGTCTTGTTTTTAGAGCACTGAGTGTGCTTCTAGGTGAAGCACGCTCACAACGGGCTTCACCCATTCTGTGCCCCAACCCCTCCCCTGGGGTCCTCTTATGCAGGGACTGTACATAAGTCACAGTGTCCAGTCCAAGGAACTCCGTGTGTGTGTGTGTGTGTGTGTGTGTGTGTGTGTGTACATTTCAATACCTGCTCTTTGAATGAGTAGATGTGGTCCAAGTACTAGGCATTTTCAAAGTTTGTTAGATGATTTCCTCTTTAAGTTGTATTTTATTTTTAATTGATTCATCATGGTTATACATATTTATGGAGCACAGTGTGATGTTTCATACACATAGACGTTGTGTAATGATCAAATCTGAGTAATTAGCATATCCACCAATCACCTCAATATCACCTTTTTGGAGTGAGAGCATTCGGAAGCTGCTAGCTATTTGTAAATACACAGCACGTTAGTGTTTGCTGACAGTTAATGTGAAGGAAGGGAAGACAATCAGACCATCCGAGTAGAATTGGGATGATGTCTGACGAACTCTGAGAACTGTAAAGGCTTGTGCTCTGTGTTGTTTCACTTGAGGTAGCAAAGGGAAGAACAATGATTGAGGTATCAAGACCAACATCTGATTATTATATTATTTTCTAGTATATATTTAAGAATGTGAGAGACAGACAGAGAGGAGATATGATATCATCCATAATCTGCAATCCAGAAATAGAATATATCAGACTATCTTCACAAAATCAGTATATTTGAATACTTATCAAAAACAGAAAAGCATAACAAGGAAATCAAATCAAAATGGAAAATAAAATTAGAATGGAAACAATAAGTAAAAATCCAGTTTCTTAAAGTGACTGGTGAAACTGACAGATTTTTGGCAAGGCTGATCATGGAGGGGAAAATGGTACAGATAAATGAATTTAGAAATTTTAAAAAGGGTATAACTGTAGATAAAGGGGGAATCAAGAAATTCTAAGAGAATGCTTTGTATACATTTGAAAATTTGAAATGTAATTATTGGTGTTCAAAAATAAATACATTACCAAAATTAGCTAAAGGAATAGAAAATTTTTAGAGAATAATAATTATAGAAGAAATTATATAATTAAAATCTATCCCTAAAATAAGCTTGAGATTCAGAAAATTTTATAAATGACTCCTACTAATCTTTTTTTAATAGCATTAAGAACAAGTCATTTATTTGTAAATGAAAGCAAAGTCTATTGCTTGAATTTAAAAGTACTTCATTTTTTTCTACAGAGTAAAAAAATAGTCTCAAGATAGGAAAACCAGCTGGTTAAATATTGCATGTATCTTAATGAAGTCTAAATATATATGGATCTCCTGTTCCACTGAAATAGGTCACATTTTTCTACTAATTATAAGAGTGGATAGAAAATTCATAGTAAAAAAATTACCAGATATTACAAGGAGTTTAAAATTGTGAACATAAGATTTCTGAGTCTTAAGCTAGCTGAACTTTAATGAAGTGGGCAGACAAGTCATGATTTTGGTGACAGAGGAAGGGATACTTGGGTTGGTGGTGACACAAGGCAGAAAGTAGAACCCACTGACACCATGGCTCCTAGACTAATGACCCTGAGAAAAATTGTAACTTTACTATTTTCTTGTTAATCATACAATTTGGCTCAGAGATACACACTGTATTTTCTGTGATCTCTATGAAGATATTTGTTGTTGAAATATATCTTAAAAGAGATTACACTTACTGGTTTACCTTAAAAGGTGCAGAGGAAAAATTATTTATATTGTTATCCATTATATTCCTATGAATCATATTTCTCTATTAGCCACAGATCTGATTCTGGTTGTTTCCATTCTTCTCCAAGCAGCGTGTTAAAGCTGAAGGGCTTGAAATATTCCAGACAATGGAAATCAGGTTTTTGTCCTTGTTGCAGTTCATGCTGTGATACAGGGTAGAGGGCTTCACAACTTCTATTATCTTTTGATCCATGAATTGCATATGAATTGAATTTTGTCACATTTGGTGGAAAATAATTCCATGGAAGATAAGCTTTGCCTTCCCATTTTGTGTCTCCTTTGGACACTTTGAATGACAAATCAAGTTCTTGTTTCCATACATTTCTTCTTCCACAGAGTAAAAGCAATAAATGCTGTCCATGGGGACAAAGTTCAACTTCTAAATACTGCTCAGTTACATCATTCAAGAAAAATGCTTCCACAACTTCATAACCCCACAGTTCATTGAAAGGCTTTCCTGGTTCTCCAACTGGGGCTGGGGGATCATTGAAAAACGGAGCATGCCTGGGTAGGAAGGATTAATATAGTGAAAATGGCCATACTTCGAAAACTGCTATATAGATTTAATGCAATTCCAATTGAGATCCCAGCAGCATACTT